GAAAATATACCCTAATGCCAAAAAATATATTCTATCACTCGAAAATTGCTTATATTTTTTTATATTCTACTAAGCCAGCGCTTATCTACGATCTCACCTGATGGTACATCACCGATGTAGCCTAAGATGGTGAAGCGCACTGACTTAACAAAAGCCTATTCACTCTTGCCTTAAAGACACCCACACTGTAAACGGATGGAAAGAAAGATGCTGGCAACTTATTCCACTCCTTTGCTGTACGCATGATGAACGACGTGGCGAACCGTTTGGTTCCAATGCGTGGTAAGTCAACAACGAAAGGGTGGAGACTGGTCGAACGTCTGGTTGTCCGATGGTGGAAGGGAGAGGGGGGAATTAAATTATGCAATTCCTGCGCACACTCTTGAAATGCAAGGTAAGGGTTATTTTACTAATAAAGTGTAGATAATTGATAATAATCTCTAGGAATGAGGTGATTGCTACCATGCCATTTCTAAATATTCTCATAATTTATTGTACAGCATAACAGTCCCATTGGGTTTCCTGCTGGTTCTTCCCAACACAGAATTTTTCAAGTATTCTTGCAATATTATTTGTAATCTTTATTCTATTTCCTTTATTCTACTATTCTATTTCGTTTTTACAAAGAACGTCAGTTATATTGCTGCCCATATGAATATATACCCAACCTTTACGTGTCAAGTTTTAAAATAAGTTTCAATCTTGGAATTTTCCTACAAGGTTAGGTCTCATTTGTTAGGCTTAGAAGCCCCGTATAAATTATGCTTTACTTACAAGGCAAATAAGCTTTATGACACACAAGACGTGAATGTATCGCCTAAAAATGAAGGTCACGCCGTAACCCGCGTTTCGTTCTAAGCGATTATGCGGGCCTGAGTAAGATTGATGGGGACTAAGGAACGGATGGTTGGCCCGACTTAGCCCCCAAATCCGGGAGATTATGAGGTATAAATAGCTTTTCATGTTAGCCCTACCAACACTTACGCGCTTATACAAATACGAGTAGTATAAAACTAACCCTCGTAGAAGATCAATCTTTTTATTTTTTATTTACAGTGTTACTTATTACTTTGTAAGGTCGAAAAAGTATTATAATTTTCTAATTTATATGTAACAGCATCGGTCCAACAAAGAAGGATAGACATTATTATATACATTACTAGCTGACCAGGCAAACTTCGTTCTGCCCTTTCCGACGATTAGTAGTCCTTTAAAAAATTTCAAATTCGCAATAAAAATATTGAGGGTCACTTATCGGAATTAAAACTATCCTATCTTTCAAGTTGGAGCAAGCAATACACATTTACAAAATTGTATTAAAATCGGTTGAGTGGTTTCGGAGTTCATCGCGGACAAACAATGTGACACATAATTTTTGTATATAAAGATATATAGACATACATTTCAAGTGACACCTGAACCAAGCCCAAAGTAAACCTTAATTTTGCTCACCTTATTGTGAGGACATGCATCATGCAATATCGCATCTATGTATATGCATCTAAAATCATTTACAAACAACAAAATAGTTTTAGGTACACAAATGTGCGTAAAGCAGTGGACTTTTATGGGCTTTCAAAGAAAGAAGAAAGATGAGTGCGTTTGTGCATTTCAAGACGATAAGCATGGTTTCGGCAATACATGAAATGGACACAGCGCGGCGCTCCGCTTATCTATGTCCTATGGTCTTACGTCACAGCATATAATACATCTCACTACTGGGCATCCACTCAGTTCTGAGAGGGTTTTCAGGTTTCAGGTGAGTAAGTAGTCCGCCGCGCTATTACAGTGGTTGTTAAACTTAAGCTTAAGCTTAGGCATAAAAATAAAAAGCTCCTGTGTGTGTGCGCGTGCGTGCGTGCGTGTGTGTGTGTGTATGTGTGTGTATGTGTGTGTGTGTGTGTGTGTGTGTGTGTGTGTGTGTGTGTGTGTGTGTGTGTGTGTACGTGCGTGTGTGTGTTTGTTTGTTTGTGTGTGTGTGTGCGTGTGTGTGTGTGTGTGTGCGTGTATGTGTGTGTGTGTGTGTGTGTGTGTGTGTGTGTGTGTGTGTGTTTAAACAGGTTTCTTGTTAAATTCACTTTTTTTTAACCTCTATTTTTGTTGAATTCAACTTTTTTTGAGAAATACTTTTAGATTTCATTGAACACTCAAACAAAGTTTGGTTTTATTGTAATCGTTTTTATTATGAAATAATAATTCACAAAAACCCCAAAGCTTCTTACGTAAAATATAAACAAAACGGGATGCAGTTTAAAACCATATTTAATCGTTATGTCATAAACAACATAATATATAACAAATTTCCGCTATAAAGGATCACATGTCGGCAGGGAGGATGATATGAGATTACGGGGGCCAAGTCTTAAGCCTAACAAACGTTGTTCCAAATCGACGTTATTTAGCAACGCTCCGAAGCCTCTCTAATTAAGGCACATCCTAACTTTCGGTGACATCCCACAGCAGTGAAACTTTCCTTATTGTTGTACACAGTAAAGTACAATAATTAAAGGAAATTATAATAGTAGGTACACTATACAAACCATAGCGTACTTATATAATTATAACTTAAGGCACGTATACGGATATGAAAAAAGTATAGAACCTGTTATTATAAAAAAAATTACAATCTATATGATGTAAAGCATCTTTTTTTTATAGGATCGGGTGACAAACTAGCACACAGTCCACCTGATGGTAAGTGGTTACTTTGACCCATAGACATCTACATCTATCCTCAATAAAGACTCAAGATGCAGATGCGTTGTCACCCGTGAGGACTAAGATGGAATGCCTCTTTGCCAGTAAAAAGGGTCTCCAGTTCTCACCATACGAAACACAGCAGCGTTAAGCTGCTATTTTACGCTGGTTTCTACTGCAACACTAGCAGCATATTTAAAAAAAAAAGGGTACAGAATCTATTGTGGATCTAGATGTGCCTTTGAAGACTAAGATAGAATGACCTTCATAACTTGTGGTGATAACAAAAACCTAAATCATTAGGGGGTTAATCTTCAACCCATATGTTCTTGCCCAATCTAAAATTTGCTCAAGGTCACCATTTATGGTACTAATACCCACAGATAGTTCGCTAGAAGAAACATGAGTGTATATTTGACGATCGTCTGAATATTAGTGGTGGGAAGAAGTATCTTAGTGGATATAGAATTAATAAAAAATGATAAAAGTAAGGGAGATAATACGCCACCCTGCGGTACACCAGCAATGGTAAGCCACCAAGAACAAAATGTGTCATCAATGTGAATACATTGCCGGTGCTCAGACATGTAACTTCGAAACCAATCAATCACTGTTGGAGATATGTTAAGAGGAAGTGCGGGTGGTCTTTTCTCCACACAAACGCTCTCGCTTGTTTCCTTTCTGGTTTATGACCTTATAGCAATGAGTTTTTACAGTAAAATAAATATCAACCTCTTCTATGTCCCTATGTTTTCCTTTTTGATAATACATTATCTTTATAAGCACTAGAACCCTGACAAAATGCTCAAAATTGCCTATTTAGAACGCTGTCAACAGGATCCTAGTATTCAAATTTAATAACTAATACTGGGAAAAGAAAAACAGAGACACAGTGTATATCTTTCTTATTCAGTTTATGAAATATCTTTTAAATTGGCTCAATATTGGAAGAGGAAGTGGTGGAGAGCCAAATTTCGAATGATTTTTACTTGGGCTATTCTGTCGGATCTGCAGTTGTCCTTATTGGACGCCGAGCGCACCCAGAGCGATAGCGATAGTTTCTTCAAATACTTAATTTTCAAAAGTCTCTCGGGCCGCAAGTATACCTAGTAAAATTTAAAAATCCAATTAATTAAAGTCATTGCTAAAATATCTTCCGTAATATCGACTAAGGCTTTGGGCAATACTATACCCAGGACGAAAATCAGATTGTAGAGGATATAAAAGGGTTGTGACTCTTTTTCTGTCCAAGTATAATTAATTAAAATAATTGCTATAATACTTTTAACTGATATAGCCTGCCTTAAAATAAACATGAACGCACGACTATATCCAATATTATTTCTTACGCAGTGTAACCATAAAAACCCTTTTTTTTAATCACCGCTTAAACTTTTACATTTTTACTTGGAAAACCTTATTATACGAAGCATTAATAACCACACGGAACGTTAAAAGAAGTGTACCTATTCGTGGCAACCGCTAAGATGAAAATTAACCTAGTTTTGTAGAAAACTTATTTCTTATTATATCGTTCGGGTTGCCCCTTAATATGTAAACACTTTTTGTTTAAAACCTTACATTTATACTTATGTTTAAATTATTAGAAAAAAATTCGGATCCAATAACTATTTAAACCAATTTCAACTTAATGCCTCATTTTCTACCGACTTCAAAAAGGAGCCGGTACTCAATTCGACTGTATATTTTTTTTATGTATGTTACCTCATAACTTCTTACTGGGTAGACCGATTTTGATGATTCTTTTTTTATTTTAAAGCTGGTGCTTACCATGTGGTCTCATGTAAATTTTATCAAAGTCTAATCAATATTTTTTGAGTTATTCTTAATAATTTGTATTGAAGTCGGTTGTACAACACTTTTAATTTTAAATTATATCGTACTGAAGCGCTCTGAAGTCGGTTTATTGGATTTTTGAATTACATACAAATACTGTCTAACTAAATTCGTAACGAGGGTTGGTAACAGCAGTAAGCAGCAGTATAAGGTTAAATTAGGTAAAACTATTTTACTAGGTGGTAAGACACTATTCCTGTCGCACCTTAAAGGTGCGTACGCAATCCGTACGCACCTTAAAGGTGCGTACGGATTGCGCGTACCCTGGTATGCGTACTCAGTTTACGCGTATTCGGAACGCCTAGTCCATACCTACAGCTACGCGTTCACTCTTAGGGTACGCGTACCGCACGAGCCATCTCGCAGCGCGAGCCATCGTCAGTCGGTTTTTGGTCGCGCGTCAAAGAGGACGCACGCAGCCGGCTACGCTATATTTGGACGGCAAAATGAATAAACACGCGTGTTCTTCGAGTTTCAATAATGAAAATATTATCAGATTGATTCAACTTTATGAATTTCACCGAGTCTTGTGGTATAGCACACTAACTGATTATCGAAATAACGATTTATGCCAAGATGCATGGAAGGCAATTTCAAATGAACTGAAAATTCCAATAGGTGAATTAAAAAAAAAGATGACAACTTTATTAGCATCACATACTTCAATAATAATAGTAGATATGGACTGTTTAGATATGCGAAACAGATATTGTAAACTTGTATATGAGTCCCCGGTGCCCAAAAACCTTAACGTCACGGATAGCCTTTCTCTGGCTGTGATAGCTTCTCGAAAATTAGTATTCATTTTTTTATTTCAGGTTCAACCTTTTCAAGAATTATTTCAAAATCTTGCAAACTCATTCTCACAAAATTTTTGTCCCCACTTTCTTCATAATTTATATCTTCCATTAGCCTATTTCCACACTGTAATCTTTCACGATACAATTTTTTCATCCACTATCTAGGTTTCCGTTTGTTTCTCTTTTTTTTTTATTTAAAATGTGTTGAATAATGACTAACGCTGCAGCAGTGGTGGTGCACGCAACCGCTAAGTTTGTCGGAGTCATGGCGAATGACTGGGGCTCGCGGAGCGCTCTGGATCGATTGACCTCGCGTACAGGTTCGCGGCGGTCCGTACAGGAGCTGTACGCGTATCCAATGTACGCGTGGACAGTGTTTCCCAACTACGCGTAACACAGGAACGCGCTATCCGTACGCAGCTTAAGAATCCGTCTGGCTAGGTAGCTTACTATTTTTGCCACTAAATTGCAGTACTAATTGCAGTACTATGTTCCGTTCTGAAGAGTTTAGAGAGTCGGTATAAGTAAGGCACCACTAATCCTCATAGGTGACAACACATCTGTAGCCATCTATGTTTGATGTTGACTGCAAGTGTCTATACTGCAGTTGCCATTGTGACGGCTGTGTCACCGTGGCACAAGCGAAACGCACCGAAGCCTAAATCGCGCTATCAATGTTCCGAAGCAATGAGGTATATGTAAAAAGCTCTGTACTACTACATGAAGCACTTTTCGCTCTCCGGGCTGAACACCTTGCCAGATGGAAGATCTCCTCCTTTTCACTCCACGGCGGAACTGGTGACCAACCGACGTGATTGAAGACGCAAGACGCGCAATATGCAACCTTTGGATAAGCATTCGTCATCGTCCTCAAGTACCCCATTCATTCGTTCCCAGTTCAAGCTATCTAGCTTTACAAGGCTCATCGCAGCACTGAAATAATGATTCCTGTTCTATCAAGCTACTTTTTGCGCTACAGTGTTCGGCACGGCTCTGAGCCTTACTGCTCGCCTCTGCTTTACAGCACTCTCGCAGACTACAAGGCACTTATACATACGTCGGCAACTTAGACTGCACTCTTGACCTCCGGACGTACTATAGAATACCTCTGTACTACCACTCGGAGCATTTGCCACTCCCTGGACTTTTCCCGGCCAGAGATCTCTTCCTTCTCATTCCACGGTTAAACCATCAAGTGGCCTTTTAATGCATATATGACTTCAGCTTATAAAAAAAAACCTCCTGCTTTATGGTGTGGAAATCTAATGTAACGTTCAGAAAATTGATGGATGAGGGTTTATCAGGGTAGAGCTATGCAGCAGCGTACTGGCACTGAAACACAAATTGGTCGGCTAGAACAGGGAACGACCAAGTCTGCACAGAATACCAGTTTGAAATAGAAGCAAAATGCTGTTGTGTACGAAACACAGCAGCATTTTGTGTTGCATGTTGAGGAACAAGAATAGGTGATCCTTTGTATTCAAAAGGAATCATTCCAACTTAGTCCTTATGGGTGCCAACGTATCTCCATTTTAATTTTTAATTAAATATATATTTAGATGTCTAGTCCACAGCAACCACTTACCTGGTAGTTCACTGTTGTACATAATGCATTCGCAATGAATGCCACAAAACACAGTTTTAACCCACCTGTATCCATCGACTTCCTTCCTTCCTTCTTACCTACCTGATCGTCACTCAATCTACTAGGTGGCCATCCTACACTTCACTTACTGTGGTACGTGGCTACCTTCCGAGAACCATATTAAGGCCAGCAGTAAAAGATACGTTTCAGATTCCTATGTCATCACTGGAAGCATGTACTTATTGTTTGTTGTTTACTCTTATTTTAAGGTTTTGAAGAATACGTGTCAAGATGGTTTGTGTGGCTCTGTCGATTAACCTTTAGATTTATCGACTTCGATAATTTGTCCTCTGTAAACATACTCGTCAACAAAACTCGGGCATAATGTTCAAATTCCCAACAACTACCGGCATAGGTGTGTCATAGACATTACTCAAATGTCACGACTTAAAATTAACGCTAATAATATGCTTTCATTTTAAGCAAAACTTCGTTAAAATATGAAAGGCTCATTTAGCAGCAGACTGTAAAGTACTGATAAGGTATATTACATAAACACTGTAGACTCAGGTGTGACAATTCTTCACTAACCTTCTCTGGAATGGCGTGTATCCATGAGCTACAGCCAACCATACGACGGAGTTTTAGCTCGTTGATAATATCGTAGAAAATAACCTACCTTTGAAAGTCATATTAGTAGTCTAATCTACCGCTTATTCCTATAGAAAAAAACTGCACATTTTATCGCTTGTTCTTTAATACAAAGTCTTTTAAACAGAAGATAGATTTACATTTTGATTACATTCGTTAAAAATAGAAACAAGTTAAAAATAAATAAATAAAAGGTAAACTTTAACTAGAATTCGGAAGCTGGCGGCAGTATCGATATCACTTGGGGGTCAATCCATAATTTCACGCATTAATTAATCTTTAATACAAAAGTTATTGTAATAGAAGCCTCATCCCTATACAGTCTTATCCAACATAAATTTTATACGATTTTATACGTGTTATAGTCATACTGCAGCTGTAAATGATTGCTGCACGAGTAGGCTCGGTCGGGGAATGACTACACTCTCACAAAATACCAAGATATTTTTTTAATTAATATTTATGTCAATAAACTGTATAGTAAATTCAAACAAAGGCTTATTCTAAAAATAATTTATAATAATAGGTAATTAAACTAGGATAAACCCGTATATCAGGTTTATGTGCTAATAATAACGGTAACGGTATCCGTTACAGCCTATTAAAGTCCACTGCTGCCCGGGATGATATGGGTGGTGGATATTCTTACATTGCCACTACACGGTATAATACACTAACAAATTAATATTTTGTTTCTTATATTAAACTAGCTGTTCCCCGCGACTTCGCGCCCTTGTAATTTAGTGTTTTAATTATTTTGTGCGGAACCCTAATTCTTTTTCTAAAATAAAAGTAACCTAAGTTACTCCTTATAAAATCAGGTGTCTGTCTGTGAAAGTTCCGTCAAAATTGGTCCAGCCATTTCGGAGATTACCCGGAACAAACAGACAGACAGACAGACCGACGGACAGATAGACAGACAAAATTTTAAAAGTTTTGTTTTTGTTATAAGAGTCGTAGGGTAAGCAGTATAATGATTGGCACTTTAAGCGGATTTCTACTTGTAAGTGGTTAATTCTCGTAAATAAACAAATTTGTTATATTCTTTATTGTTTTCTTGGATTTTAGTTTAGATAGCCATAAATAAAATAACGCATTACGTTTAAAAAGAAATGTTTAATTAAGTTAAAAATCTAATTAAACTTTTTTCTAGGGAATGTTACAATCATTGGCACTTTAGCATAGTGAATGGCACTGTAAATTAAGTATAATCATTGGCACCATTGGAAGTCTTAAAAAGTTATACCCAGATGAACACTTATTTTGAACAAATCTTCTTCAAAATTCTCCTTAGACCTTCATCTGTAAACGGTTTCGTTTGTCTACCATGTTTTTTTCTTTCTTCGTGTACATTTTTGATGTGACTTTTTTAGTAAAACCTTTCGTATTTTCTCGATATTTTGTAGAAATAGAACTTTATTTCGGTATTTTAGATTAAACATTTAGAGAGTATTACGAGTATAATGTCGGAGTTTTTGGCTTCGTTCTTCTTGTTTTGTTTGTCAGTTTGTTTCTATATTTGGCTGACTAATTTAATTCTGCATTTTCCATTTGTGCCCCATTTTTCCATTATTTTTTTAGCTCCGCTGTTTCCTCATCTTCACTTGTTAGCACAAAATAACGGCGTTGTTTACCTGCTTTTTGCTTTTTGATACGTATTTGGCAATGGAAAAAACTCTATAAATATTTTTAGGGCTTTCTAAAAGATTTTAGTTTATTTCGACATCCACAAACACCCATTCACCTCCAACAAATTCTAAATTTGCTGCCTAGTTGATGTAAAACATGAGGGTTAGTTTTCTTTCTGATACTCAACAATAATCTCTGCAGGTTTTATACGCTCTGGTACTGATAAACCAATATTAAGTGAAAGGATACAAGGCAAATTTGATAAAGGTATTTCTGATTCAATCGTTATTAGTCGTTATTCTTGAAATATTAGGTAATTCGGCGTAATGGCAAGAAACGGTGATTTTATAGTGGTAGAGCCACGCGGCAGCTTTTACTGTCGCACGGATGGGCCGGCTCGAACCGGGGTGGTACCACGACCTCACAGAATTCCAGCGTGAAGTAGAGGTTTACCTCTGCGTTTCGCTTGGTGAGTGCAGGTGGCCGGAGGCCCTTTTTACTGGAAATGAGGCATTCCATCTTAGTCCTCACGGGTCACAACGCATCTGCATTTTGATTCGCAAACAAGGATAGATGTAGATGTCTATGGGCCGCAGCAACCACTTACCATCAGGTGGACTGTGTGCTCGTTTGTCACCCTTATCCTATAAAAAAAATCATCTAAAATGGCTTGCTGTGATTTCGAGGGCACCGGACACTTTGTTTAATCCACTTTATCTGGACTAAATGGGCACAACCCACATGTCTCAAAACCATTTCATAATGTAGATTTATTTCAATACGGTAAAAGTCTTGCTAATATAGGCCCGCATCTCTTTTAGTAACCTTTTTGTCAAATTGTTTGTCCGTCATTCGAAGACAGGTTTACGCCACATATCTTTGTGGTGGGCCGAAAAGCAGTGATATCAGCTGATTGCAATAGTCGCGTCGCATTCAGGTTAAGGGCTATAAGTATTATGGCGAGACTTGGGCAAAGTTGCGCCGTATTTAAGATAGTAAATAACCCTCTCTCTAGGCACTAACTTTTGAACGTTTGATCACATTTTCTATAGGGGGAAAATAATAGGCTTTACCGTCTACTCCAAAGAACAGTGATGCAAGATTTCGATTA